CGGATACAAAGACAGACAAACAGTATAAAATGAGCCCATTATCACTGACATGTGCAAGGGCTAAGAGTGTAAGAAATGCCCACTGCCAACAGAGAAATTTAGCTTGCCAGCTGCTGTACAGCCAAGTACTGTCCTAGCTTAGATGTAAACTGGGACTCAGTTCAAACTACCTGCAACAAAAACAAAACAACTAATCAGAGTTTGATTATATACTTTTAAATCCTGTGATGAATTTGTGGGAAAATAAGACTTCACAGAACAGGTGATACATGTGACAGGCTTTGATAGATAAGTTCTTGCGGGGGGCGGGGTTAGGTTTATTTATTTGCTATTATTATTTTATTTGATGGAGGTACTGGAGACTGAACCCATGACCTCGTGCATGCTAAGCATGTGCTGTACCACTGAGCTATGTATACCCTCCCCCCTTGACGGTTCTTTGGTTAGTCAGCTACAGCCTGAGGATTTGAAAATACAAGTTCCTAGAAAAATATAAGTGTTCACTCAAGAAACATGAAAGCTCAAATAATTCTATAACTATAGTAGCTAAAAATCTAACCACAAAACACCATGCCAAAATTTACAGTCTATAGACATTCAAGGAAAAGACCATCTCAACCTTGTAAGAACAAATATAAAAAAGAAATACTTCCTCTCTACCTAATTCTATAAAGCCAGTATAACCCTGATACTAAAACCATATAAGGACAGTACATGAGAGGAAACTTATGATTGATTTCACTCATAAATACAGATAAATCATTTAAAATTTCAGTAAACCCAACAGTATATTTTGAAAATTCCAATAAAAGTTTCGCATTTTTTAAGACTATATCATGACCAAAGTGAGTTTATCCTAGAATTGTGAAGATGGTTTACTGTTAGAAAATCTATATATACAATTAACCACATTAACAGATAAAAGCATGAAAACCATAGGATCAATTCAGAAGACAGAGCATTTGATAACAGTTAACATAAATTAATGATAAAACTAGGAATATAAAGTAATTTCCTTAATCTGAGAAAGGTATCCATAAACACACAAAGTAAATATCAGCCTGAATAGGAAATGTTATTAGCACTTCTTTTAAAACTGTAAATGAGACAAGGATGCCCATTACCATCATACGGAAAATGGTATTAGTGGAAAATAAGAAAAAGAAAGTCATTAGGTTTAGAAAGGCAAAATAAAGCTGTCATTATTTGCACATGACATAATCTACATTAAAAACCCAAAATAATCCACAGTTTAATAGTTCAGTAAAGTAGCTGAATCACTACACAAGTCACTTGTGTTTCTAAACACCAATAAGAAAGTAATACCATGAAAAGAAGACAGCATTACAACAGCATCAAAGAACAGCAAGAATCTAGGAATAAATTTAACAAACTATTGTAAGTTGTCTTAAGGGAAAAGGGTCCTGAAAGACAGTGAAGGACCTAAAAAAATGGAGAGAGGTGAGGTTCAAGGACAAGAAGACAATATTAATGTCAGTTCTCTCCAAAACTGACTAATAGATTCCATATAATTCCAATAAAAATCTCAATAGCACTGAACATAATTTATTCCATGTAGGGAAGAGTGGTTCAGCAGAAATATCCATTCTTATAGCTTGTCACAGTGACAGAACTAAGGTGCATAATCATCTGATAATCTCTACAGATGCTAAAAAGATATTTGATAAAACTCAGTATCTCCATGTTTAAAATAGTATAAGAGGAATTGACAAATAGTTCCTTAATGTGATAAAACAGAATGGGTGGGATGGAGGGTTTAGCTCAGTGGTAGAGTGCTTGCTTAGCATGCACGAGGTTCTGGGTTCAATCCCAGTACCTCCATTAAAAGAATAATAACAAAAATAAATAAAATTAAAAACCCAGAAAGGGTGGGAATTTGTGAAATAAGGGCATAATACTATCTGCCATGCAGGGTTTTTGAAAGATAAGACATTTATATACAGGAAGCCAAGCAATCACTGAGCCTGGCCTAAGTCAGGAACTCAACAGACAACAGCAAACATATACAATTTTTATGAAAAAGACACACAAACACTATTTTGCTAACTACACACAGGAGCTCTTATGGCTATGTGAGAAAGGCTAGGGTCCTCACCTTCCAGCCGAGGGCATGCAGCCCCACCACGGCCCCATAGTGAGAGCAGAGAGGTCTCACAGGGTCTGCCAAGACCTTCTGCAGGGACAGCAGGATCTGCTGATAGAGGCCACTTACGAGGTCCCCATGAGTCCTGTGGGAGCAACATTCAGTCAGGGGAACAAGGCAGGGTGCTGCCCAACTGGACTCAAGTCCCAGCACACAGAGGAAACAGCGCCCACATGGAACACTGGGGTAACAGACCAAGAGGCTGAGGTGACCGGCCCAGGACCTGACAGCTGACGGACCAACCCCCAGCATATTTGTCACCCATCTGTAGAATCCCAGTGTGCCAGGGCATAACAACCAGGAAGCTTGAGGGGAGTGAGGGGAAGAGGCTCCCTGACCTCTCAATGTATGGCCTCAAAGCCAGAAGTTTCACCCACTTTCCTGCCCCAACCTGCTCAGCTCTGCAGCAGCCCCGCCCCAGATCAGCTCTAGGCCCAGTGGCTACCAAAAGATGTGGCTGAGCAGGAGGGCAGCACCATCCCGCAGAGTCCAGTGGTCGTTTAAGGGGTTGATGGAGGCTGCCAGGGGTTCCAGGACACAGTAGAGGACACTGCCCACCAGGGAGCGGACATAGGGCCCCAAGCAGAGGTGTGGGTTCCGAACCAGGCTCCGTGCCACTTGCAGGAGCCGGTGCAGCTGCTCCAGGTCGTGGCTTACAGATTTCACCTGTTGGCAGAAGAGGGGTGCTGAGGGGGATGCAAGGGTGCACAAGAGCCTGCCGTCCCAACAGCACCTGCCGTGTGCCCTACCAGCTGCTGAGTCTTCTCCCCACAAAACATTCCCCCCCTGCCCCAGCCTGGTCACTTACCCCACTGACCACATAAACAAAGTAAGGCAGGAGTGCTGCGATCTTGGAGTTCGTCTGCAGGTCCTGGAGAGCAATCTGGAAGGGAAGTGGCCACACTGCACTGGATCTACCAGCCCCACGTAGAAATCGACATTTTTTTGAAGAGCAACTTAGCACTTATGTATTAAAATTTTAAATGCTCATATTCTTGGACTCAGTAATTCTGCATCTACAAATTTAACCCGCTCTAAAAGAAACCCACTCACACACATATCCAACACATAGCACCATTTGTAATAATAAAGAACTGGATACAACCTAAATGTTCAACATATTTTTAACTGAGAAAAGCAGTTATTCTAAAACCAGATATTTAGTATAATACTTTGGTTGCCAATAAACTTTGTATAGTTTATATATTAAAAAAAAAGTGAGTGGGTGGTTTTACAGAATTTCACTTCCTACTTTGTATATCTTTATATTACAGTACCATACTAAACGTATGCTGGTATTACTTTTCTAAGCGGAAAAAATACATTCCAGTAGGTAAAGGGGTAAAACCATCTTAGTCCTGAACCTCCACCACCTGTGCCCTCCCAACTCCTCTGGATAAAGACCCTGAGTTCAGGCACTGTGAGAGTGGACAACAGCTAGTGAGGAAGGGACACAGCTCCCAGCCGCCCCACCCCCACCCCGTGCAGGCCCCTGCACTGGGCCTGGGAAGCAGCAGCCGAGCTTCTAAGGTGGGAATGTATGGGAGCAATAGCCCGAATTTTGCAAGGGAAGTAACAGCGGCAGCCAGACGTGTGAAGATGTGGAAGATGGAAAACCCGCAAACAGACCGAGATCACGTGGTTGAGCAGATCACCAACCCCGCCCTCCTCTGACTCTGGACGGAAGACGCCTGACACAGGCACTGTCCAGGGAGCTCAGTGGAGCTCGAGATGCAGCCAGGGCTGGTGTGAGGCCTGACCAGGCAGCCTAGCCTGGCCCCTTCTTCCTCTTCTCCTTTCCCACTCAAGTCCAAGCAAATGAAAGCTGCACTGTGGATGCCCCAAGGGGCCCCAGGTCAACAGACACCCCAAAGAGTGGGCTCTGGAATTAGGGTGTAGGGAGACTGACCACCTGAGGCCCCCCCAAATGGCCCTGCTAAGCTGCCCATTCCCTAAGGAACAAGGGTTCCTCCTACAGTAGGAAGGGGAGGCAGTATTGGAGGAGAGCCAGCCGCGGAGCACCATGCCCCTCACCGAGAGAAGCTCCCACCCCCATCAGCGTGGAGGGGACAGGAAGTAGGCATCTGAAGGAATTCCACGGTGATTTGGAAGTTGGACTCATGCCCCAGTTCAGGCCCACCCACTCACCTTCATCAGCTGTGGGTCATCCCCTAGCACAGCCCGAGTGACCTGCTGGTAGTACTTGAGAAGGTCATCAGTCAGTGAAGACACGGCGCTGGGCACTGCAAGAGAGTGGGCAAGAGGTGGTCAGGGTGGAACCCAGCCGTCTCTCAACCTCCTCACCTGTCCGCCTACAACCACCATCCCCATGCCCCCCACAAGGAGCCCGTTCAGACAGGACTCCCGGAGCACAGAGCCACCAGCCCCTCTGAGCAGCTTGCTCAGCCCTGACCTTGCAAGCTCTCCACACCCCTGCTCTGTCCACTGTCTCCCACCTGTCCACAGCCAGGAAGACTCCTGCGTAGTCCCCAAGCCCCAAGTTCATAAGCCTCAGGCTCTGGAAAGCTTCACTCAGCAGACCCTGGAAGTGTGACACCTTAGGGACCCCAGCAGGCCACCCAGACTCCTGTGCAGGCATCCAGCATGGCCTCATGATTGCTTATAGATCTGGGATCCCATCTCCAACTCTGAGGCCTCTGGGCAGGGACCAGGGCCCACTCGGGACAGGCATCGCTCAGGCCCTGGAAAATGCTTGTCAGATAAAGGCTGACACCCTCAGCTCTCGAGGGAGGAAAGTCCAAGCAGGGGGCCCATTTCCCACACTAGCCCTTACCCGATCCTTGAGGTGCCAGGTTCCCTTTGCCATCTAGGTAGGAGACATGAACTAGAACCAGAGCAGAGAGATGAGTCAGCCTGGGGTTTTGCCCCTTGTACCACCACCCACCCCTCTGGCTTCTGCCCCAGGCACAGCCAGCCCATCACCAGTCCTCTGATAGCCCAGCTCCTGTCCCCACCCCATGCAGGACCCCAGCGGTCACCTCTCACAGCTGTCTCAGCACAGCCTTTGGGGATGTTGGTGGCCAGGGCCAGCTCTACCAGGTTCACCTCCCGGTCCTCAGGGAAATAGAGCTCACCCTCCCTGGCGGGACGCAGGGGCAGCGCCTCCTGGGATCCATAACCACACACAGCCTGAGGAAGAGGATTGGGAGCAGGCTGAATCCAGGGAGGGAAGACATGCTCTATTGACCAGGGCAGGGAGCCCATTTGAGGGAAAGTCCACAAGTCCTACAACAAAGGTGGGGGGATGCCTGGGGCTTCAGGCCCGTCACTGGGAACTTGGCTGGAGTGTCCGGTGCTCGGTACATCAGGGAGTAGAACGTGGTTCTTCCTCACAGAGCCGGAGGGACTCTGAGGCCCGCCCCTCGGGCTGCTGGTCCTCTGACTCTCACTTCGCCTGCCCAACTTGAAAACATGGCTCTCCTCTATACACAGCTTTCCTCCCTGGACCCCCAGAACAACTGTACCGGACATTCTAACACCCACAGTTGTGCTCAGGCTCCTCCCTCCCCTAGAGTGCCCTCTCTTCCTTGTAACTTAGTCTAACCCAAACTTTCCTTTAAGGCTCAACTCAGTTCCTGTTTTTTTCAAGAAGCGCTCCCTAACCTCCATGCCTCCCCTCCCTCTTCTGAACTCTTAGCCCCTGGGGTGGGGCCTGGCCATGAGCTTCCCTTGTGTGGGTATGTGGTCTTCACATCTCGCTGTGCTGCCAGCCCTGAGCGGGGCCTGGAGGAGGCTCATGCCAGCTGAGCCCTCTGCAGCCTGCCCCCCACTCACCTCCACACTGCTCCATCTGAGGGCCCTGTTGAAATCCTCGACGGTCAGCTTCCGCCGTTTGGTGTGTTTCATGAATTGAGAGCTATTCTAGGAGGGGAAGAACAGAGTCAGGGGACAAGGAGCAGGGGGCAAACAACCTCCAAGGTCACATTTCCTCTCTGTGACTCTGTTTCTCACATGCAGAATGTGAATATGAACCTGCTTGGCTGGCCCAGCGGGGCTGTGGTAGGGAGAAGATGCCCAGCAAGAGCTCAGCTCGCTGGAAGCCCAGCTAGAGGAGACTCCGGAAAGAGCAGGGACTGACTGCCTCCACTGTGTTCCCTCCAAGCACGGGGCAGGTGCCTCACCTATACTTGTTAAATAACTCCTGGGGGAGGGGGTGGTCAAAGGGAGGAACCAGAGAGTTGGGAGGTATTGGGGGTGGGGGGGGTGTACCTGGGTGGCCTCTCTGAGACGGTAGCACACATCCTCTGCAAGCAGGGCCGCCACTTCATCGCTCAGCTCCAGGCCTGTGCTCTCGGCCATGAGCCGGACAGACTCCCGAGGGATCTCCACAAACCGCCGCTCTTCGCGCTCTGACATGGCTCTGAGGGAGCTGAGGGTGGGGAGGATGGTTTGAAAAGCCAGCCCAGTTTCCCTTAGAGCCCAGGAGCCTGATTCCAAGCCCTCTAAACCAATCTTGCTGTTCTTGCTCCAGAATGCCCGAATAAGGAGCCACAAAGGCTCCTAGCATCCAGGTGAGGAAACTTGAGGCTCAGGGCACAAAACAGACTTGAGCTGGGCCAAAAGACAGACGACAGTGACGCCTGCGAAAATGCCTGGCCTTCGGGTTTACAGAACTGGGTCCCAGCCCTGCCCTACCACTTCCTATGTCAGTCTGGCTGAGACCTTCAACAGTCTGAGCCTGGTAAAACAGTGGCAATAATCGCTGCCCTCCCTAACTCTCAGGGTGGCTAGAAGGATGAAATGAGATGCTGTATGAGAAACTCGGGGATGGAACACTACACACATGGAAGATATTACCATTGTTAATTATAAACAAAAATTTCATGTTTTCTTCCTTCTGATCAACCAGCAGGTACTAAACATTGATGAAAAGACTACGTTAGCCCCGACAGCCCCTTACTCAAAAGTCTTCAGTACTTCTCCACGACTCATAAAAGGAAAGTCCCAACTCCCTGGCTTGACATTCTGTGTTTGGTCCCAAATCTAGACAGCTGTTCAAGCTGATCCTTCCTCCTAGTAAGCCCAACCTCGTGTCTTTCCACCAGGGCTCAGGCTGGTCTGTCTGCCTCTCTACTCCGAGTCCCCACCTCCTCTCTTTTCTAAGGCAAATCCGGTCTCTCTTTTGAGGTCTTCCTCATCTGGGATTGTCAGGCTTTTAATAGTCAGGCTTTTTGCCCATTGTCTGGTCTTCCCCAGTTTGGCTACAAGGCCTAAAAGCAGGAGCATGCTCTTCCATTCACAGGATACAGCAGAAAAAGAACCCAGCAAAAACAACGGCTGATGACTGACTCCAACAACACACAGCACAACTGGAAGGCTGGCCCACGCAGGCCAAAGGGAGGCATCAGCACCACGGGCAGCAAGGCCCAGTTTCACCATAACCCACCCAGGAGCTGCTCCACCACTGCTCTCTGGCAGGGCCAGTGACCTCCAGGTCCCTAAACCCAGTGGGCACCTACCTGGCCTCCCTGCGGCATTTCTACCAATGGCTCCCCATGGCCTTTGGAATAGAGAGCAAACCTGTGCCACAGCTCCAAGTCCTGCATGTGCGCCTACATCTGCCAACACCTCTTTCCACTCTCTCTTGTGTTCTGTATTCCCGTGGCCTCTCTTAATTTCCTCAAAAACACCTTATTTCAGGACATTCACACATTGTGTTTCCTCTACTTGGAATGCTCTCTTCTTCCCCAAATCCCTTTGTCTAGTGAGCTCCTAGTCACTCTGAAGGAGTGTCTAGTCACTCCTTCAGATCTCCACTTAAACATCACTTGCTCAGGGAAGGCTTCTCAGACCCCTACAATGTCCCAGTACTTTGCTTCAAAGCAGTTATCAGAGTTTGTAATTATACATTCGTGGAATTTATTAACACCTACCTCCCCACTAGATTGTAAGCTCCACGCTGGCAAGGATCATGCCTGTTTGCTCACCTTTGCATCCCCACCCTCAGACACGGTGTCAGCACATAACACGGTTTCAATAAACATTTGCTGAAAAAAGAATAAAGAATAGCGATTTTTCTAAGCACACACTATGCCCGAGGCATTGAACTAAGTGCTTTATATGGCTTATACCTCATTCTGTCCGCATTAATAAGATAGGTATTATGTAAGTATCGTGGCTATTTCACAGCCAAGGAAATCAAAGCTCAGAGAGGCTATATGTTAAAAGACTTTCTCAAGAGCACTTTCTGGAGAGCACTACGTCGGTAGGGAGCAGGGACTCAAACTCTTGTTCCGAATCATGAAAAGCGGAGGGCTGTGAAGGGAACGAAGCCTGGATGCCCAGCCCGGAAACTTGGCGTTGGAGATCCGCTAATGGATACTCGTTAAGCTTCTTTCTCCATCTGTAAAATGGGAGCACGCAGTCCTGCCCACGCGGAAGTTTCCCTATTATGTGCCCATATTAAACGCCACAAAGTCCGGGCTCTAACCAACGTCTCCCGCTCCTCCACATCCTCAGTCACTAGCCACACCGGTAAGGAGGCGTAGGAACTGACCTCTACAGGCCTCCGTGATGCGCATCCTCCCACCAAGCCTCGCTTCATCCCAGATCTAGAGGCGGTGGGGTAGGGAAGAGGTCAGGGGTTACCGAACTTAGGTCACGTGGGCAACGAAGGGGGCGGGCCCCCAGCGGAGCGGGCTCTAAGGCCGGTGAGCGCGCAGCGCCTAGGGGGACGGGCCTATGAGGGCCTGCTCACCTGAGGGCTCCCGCACGGCGAAGGCTGCTACCGAGACCGCGGTGGCGGCAGCTCCCACTCACCCCGCTCCCACTAATTCCCTCTCTCGGGTCCCAGGCCCCGTCCTCCACGCACACAGCCAATCGGCGGGCGACTTGAGGCGTTCCCGCCCTCCAAGAAGCTTCTCGCCACGCGATTGGTCACTGCGATGGCGCTGTAGAAGACCCAGGGCGCCAGGGATCACGTGATGCTGGAGAGTCGCGCTTCTTAAAGCAACAGCTCTTGAGATTTTTGCGGGGTGTGAATGGCTCGTTGTACGTTTTAGTAAGCATGTTCCTAGGGAAGGCATTCCCAATCCCTTGGTCTTTGCTTCTGAGTTTCTGAGCACTTGCATTTACGCGACTGCAGCGAAGCTTTATACTTTGGCGTCTGCGTTCTTACCTCTCCAACATCACCTGCCACTTTCCTTTCCCCGAAGGATGAATGGGAATGAATCGGTAGGTATTCTCTGCGGACAGAAGGGTGTTCTGACAGGGCCAAACACCCTGTGCAAGCTCCAGACTCCAGGGCTCTGCGCATTCTAGTACCGTACCTCGTATCTCCCCCGTTTCTGACCAGTAAGCCCTCACTTGTCTCATAGACTTCCTTGACCGTTTTATACACACACTCTCCCGAACTTGGGCGGTTTTTAATTGAAAAGCCGTGAGCTTGGTGAGTTAAAGGATGGTATTTGGAGTAAGACCGACACGAGTTCCAACTCTGATACTGCTTTAGGGCAAATTACCTAATCACATTCTACAGTCTGGAGTAATTAATACCCACCTCATACGATTATCATAGATTAAATGAGATAATGTAGACTGACAGTTGGTAGTGGAACTTGCACTCACACATAAGGAGGCAGACAGTAAAATTCCTTTCTGTCCATCCAAGATGGTATCGTTTATAATGGGCTATTTATTATAGAAGGGAGCTTTCTGCAGGGGAGCATAAATGTACACACTTGCTCTTCCTCCCTCTCAGGGTTAGATGCTGCTGCTGCCTCTAGGAAAGATCCTCTGAGACCAGAACTGAGAAAGCCAGATGGATGGGACTGGGGTTGCCATAGCAACACCACCTAAGGAGACTAGAACCCTGCAAGTCTCTTCAGTCATATTCAGAATGACATTTGGAGTAATTTCAGGACTGTGCTTTGGACACTGGAGTGTCTACCCATCTACACATGAAGGGAAGGTGGGGTATCCTGTAAGGTTTTGAATCTGAGATCAGCTCAGCAGAATTTGGGCTGTTGGCAGATCCCCTTGTTATTGGTACAGACAGCCATTGTCAACCTTGGCGGCAGGGGCCACGGAAAGCAGTAATGAGACCTACATGGCCACAGATGGGAAAAAGGTGGTTCCTACTTATTCTCCAACCACCCAGTGCTGGGCACAAAGAGCTATGATGATTTTGGAGTTAGATTATTTTAAAAAAAAATCACAGCTCCACTACTCACTAGTTGTGTGAACTTAGGCATGTTAGTTCATCTCTCTGACTTGTTTTATTAACCGTACAGTGGGATGACAGTATCTGTTTCATGGAAGTGTTGTGAAAATTCACTCCTGTGTGTAAAGGCATGTAAAGGATTTACCATGTTCCCAGGCACATACTCCTCTTACTATTAAGCCTGTGACCTCTTTAAGAGTCTGTAACTTTCAGACTCCCCTAGTACCAAGCCTTGTAAGATCAGAAGAGTCCTGGAAACCATCTCAGGCCATCCCCACTTACTCCCTTCCCGACCGAGTGCCACACCCAACATCCTCACCAGCAGTTCCATGAGCTGCTTCTCTGTCCATCAGTCTCTTCCTTCTAGGCCTGGTATTACTTTCAGGGTATCCCCAATACAGCTTACAGATGTGTGATTCCATTTGAGAACTTAGGAAGAATTTTACTCTCAGGGAGATACATGGTGTTGAGGGCATAGGGAAAATCCCTACAACCTGTGTAATCAACTCAGTGATGTGAAGGGTATCATAACTTGATCATTGTGTCCATGGGAAAATTCATTGCAAATCCAGCACAGAAACTTTCCTGGACTCAACAAACTTGGAAACCTTGACACAGTGCTGAGATCTGGAGATACAAAAATGAAAGGGAGGCATGTGAATCTACAATGATCTCAATAAAGTAACTGCAATTTTATATAATAAAAAAATGGAAAGGGAGACAATAACAAAATATGTGTTTTGTGACATACTACGGGGGTATGAATGGAAGAGCCTGTCTGTCCAGGAATGGTGAGGTGAGGGAAAAGGAAACACATTCAAATGCCTTTTTCTTACCAGTTTCCAAGCACTCTTCTGGATGCTTCAAATCAGATTTTCTGGACCTTGACATGAATAACATTTGGGGCCAGATAATTCTTTGTTGTGGGGGCTGCCCTATACATTGTAGGATGCCTAGCAGCATCCCTGGATCCCTGTCTCTACCCATTAGAAGGCAGTTGCATCCCCCACCCAGTTGTGATAACCAGAAGTATCACTGCGAAATGTCCCCCCGGGGCCAAAATCACCCCAGTTGATAATCACAGCTTTGTATGCACTACATAGCAATGATTATAATTAGCAGTTGAGTGCCTATCACGGGCCAGGCTCTATGCCAGCCACTTGCACATATGATCTCTGATACCAGCAGCAACCACCCAAAGAGGGCTGTAGGACCACTTACAATGAGGAAACATAAGGTCGCCCGGCTAGGACTGAAACCCAGCTCTGTATCAACCCAAATATTATTCTTTCTACTACACAGCTCTGCTTCCCATGGAAGTCAAGGAAAGCTAGAGAAAAAAAATTTTTTTGACTGAGACTTGATAGATTAGTAGGCAGCAAGCAGATAGGCTGGGAAAGGGCATTCCAAGGTAGACAAATAGTATTGCAAAGGCACAGTATGAAGGAGGGTTGCACGTTTGTTTAATCTTATTTCATGTATTTTTGTTGTTTTACCCTAATGAAATTTTGAGCCCTTTCACATCTTCGGTTGAGTTTAGTGCAGTGATTGATGAGCAAATAAAGGCCTCTGTTGTTTATGTGCCCATCCTAAGAAGGGCTGGGACCCCACAATCTGTATCACTACATTTTACTGTTCACGTCTCCCTACCTGCAGTCTCCTCTTCCCTCTCCCCAGCTATGCTCTTGGGTATTTTTAAGGGTGGGGAAAGGGCAAATACACTGAAACAAGCCTGGGGCTCAGAGTGGCTCTAATGATAGTATCATTTGCTAAAAGCCAAAGACCCAACATGAATGCCTTCCTTTCAATGAGGTCAATGTTAGACCTTGGAAAAGGGTTAGTTACATCCCTGGTGGCTGAGGTGAATTAAGGCATCAGGCCAAGAAAAGAGGATCCAGCAAGCAACTGGCCCTCCAGACTTTTTTTTAAAAGAGTTCTTACCAAAGAAAGGAGATGACACTTCCATAGGAATCAAGAACATTTTATGGTTAGAACATACAGACAAAAAGCTAGGAGTAGATGCTAAGGCACCAGAACCAGATCTCTTCTCATGATAAGGTAACTCCCTTGCCTCCCCAACGGCAGCTAGACTCAGCCTCTGCACAACATGGGAGTTGTGACAGTCACACCTCCTAGGTAAGGACCAAACAAGGTAAGAGGTCCCGGTGCTCAGCTCACAAGCCCTGTGAGAACATGAAAAGCGCATCGGTTAGATCCAGAGCTTGGGGCAGCCATCCCCATCCCATCCCATCCCATTTCCCAAGGGGGCATATCCTGGATCTTCCAAGCAGACAACACAAGTGTTTCTTTCATCTGCGACTCAAGGCTTGAAATCCCATATCCACCCCCTGCGCCCACATACCCCTCCTCCAGGCAAAGAACCCCGGTGTGGTGGAGCAGGTACTCACCCAAATAATCGTCCATCAGGGAGCCGATAGCAAACTGCAGAAGGAAAGATAAAAAGGAAATGAAGCCAAAAAGAGCCCTGAACTATCCTCTAACCCTCGGCCCCAAGCCTTCTGCCCACCCATCTCTTCTTCCTGGCCAAAGTACAAAGTACAAAGTCCCCAGGAACTCTGGGTAGTTAAGAAATCAATGGCTCTGCCTGCTATAGGCAGGGAGGCAGAGAAGGGACTCACAATGTCATTCTTGTCCACACGGGTCCCCACAATCTTCAAGCGGATCTCATCATCCTGCTGAATCACAATGTCCTTGGGGAAGAGGAACAGTACACTCAGACATTCCCAGGCCAGTACTCTCCCTTGGAGTGGCTCCGCCCCCTGTCCCTCTCACTGACTTCCTCCAATCCACTCACCTCATCCATTGTCTTGTAACATGGCGGGTTGGAGTTAGGATCAAACTCCATCTCTGATGGGATGGACTGAAAGGAAGGTGAGACTGCGTCAGGACTTTAAATGGGTGCTTCATCAGACGGTCATGACTCTGTGTCTCCCCTTTAACCCACCCAGGGTGCCTAGGCTTACATGTCGAGAGATGAAGCAGGACATGGGCCCAATCTCTGTGAAGAGTCCAACCTAGAAGGGAAATGAGTGACTTGCTTTTCATTTGTCCCCCAAAGTCTTCTAAGCTTCCCATCTTTATCTGATTCCTAATAATATCCTTCATGTTTTGAAACCACTCTGAAATTTGGCACTTGTTTTCATTCTCTTTTTTTTTCATGCTTTCAGGTTTTTTGTCTGTTTTGTTTTGTTTTGTTTTTCCACTGAAGTATAGTTGATTTATAATGTGTTAGTTTCTGGTGTACAGCAGAGTGATTCAGTTACACATTTGTATATTCTTTTTCATATTCTTTTATCTTATAGGCTATTACAAGATACTGAATATAGTTCCCTATGCTCAACAGTAGGACCTTGTTTAGGAAGCTTTCATTTTAAGTTAAGGAAATGTAGTGGTAAACAGCTGAGGCCTAGAACTTGTCAGTCTGGGATCTGGACACTTGTTGGCCACATGACCTTGACCAGTAGACTTAACTTCTCCAAACTTCAGCTTGGACATCAAAGCACAGGGATAAAAGCACTCACCTGACACAGTCATTGTGAGGCTTTGCACATTACCTGGCCCACAGGAACTACTCAATCAATGGAGGCTCCTATTGTTTTGACCATTAATATTGACT